ATCTTATAGATTGATTAACAATTAATTAATAAGCAGCTTTTTTCAAAAACCAGAGTTTTCTCTTGAATCAAGAGGGTCTTCCCATAAAATGAAGAATATTTTTTAGAGGTGTAAGAAAATATCGATACACTGAAATATCGTGATATTTCTTTCCCGATACTGTATCGATATTCTAAAGCCCTGTATCGATTTTTAATTAAGGTTTAAAATGTCCACCTTCACCCGTTCATTTTTATGTTGTAGTTCAGCCTCTGACCACTAGTTGGCAGCAGTGAGCCAGACATTTGGCTCCTCTACCTCTTGAGCGCCAGAGAGTAAGGGTAGCATTAGCATTGTAAGTAAACATTGGCTTTTCTTTTTTTTCAGTAAGAGGTTTTTATTTAATAGAATTTTTGGACAAAAAAATCGCAATATATCGCAATATATTGCCTTGCTTACAGTATCGCAAAATATCGGGATATATCGTATCGTGACCCCTCTGTTATGATATGTATCGTATCGCCAAATTCTTGCCAATACACAGCCCTACAAGTGTGTATTGAACCTAAAACTCTGTTCGATACAGTTCGATACGGGTACATGTATTGTTGCACCCCTAGTAATTAAGTGTTTTAATAAAATGGCTGATTTATTGAAAAAATAATCGACAGATTAATCGATTATTAAAATAATCATTAGTTGCAGCCGTAGATTGGGATGAAATCTAGAGGTACAAGTAAACACAAATAGAATTGGGTTGAAGTTTAGGTAACATTCAGTGGCATTTAGATTCTTGAAGAGGTGTCATATTTGGAATATTTCAACCAGTAACTCACAGGGAAATRGAAGTGAGCTAAAATCAAAGTGTGTCACCCCTAAGAAATAAAAGAGTTTGAGCATATTTAGGGGTAATTGTAACACCAGGATATAAGATTGGGCCTGAATAAAGGAGACAGATAATAGTGTTTGTTTTGTTGAAGGCGTGACCCATTAAGGGAAATATTCCAACCAGTAAAACCAGGATATGGGATTAGGCCTAAATCTAGGTGACATTTGGTTCCTTGACCTGCTGTTTTATTAAAAGTGTTTTTCAACCTGGTAAATGATGGACCAAAGTCTGGTTGGGTTAATTCTAAAACCTGAAGTACTGATAAAAGAAAAGAAAATGGGATTAGTTGAAGACTAGGTGACATTTGATGGTGTTTAGATTCTTGTAGCGGTGTGTCCCATTTAGAGTATTCCAACCAACATGCCACTGGGAAATGGAACTGGGCCAAAGAACCCCCTAAGACATTTGGTTTAAACAAAATTTCGGAGTGACGGAAAGACAGGTTTGTGGGATCGATCCAGAACCTGAGGCCAAAGGTAACAACATGAAATGGGATTAAAGTTCAGTGTAGTCTGTGTGGGATTAAGGTTCAGTGTAGTCTGTGTACACAGCTTTTGACAGGTTTGATTTTTGGCTCATTCTCTTGAGGCGTCCTTGAGGGAGACAATAAAACCGTGTGTGTGTGTGTATGTGTGTGTGTGTATAAACAGTCACTTTGAACAAATGTGTCTGCCAGCTGAATGAAATGTAGTGCCATTAGGCTCCTCTCCACTTACTGAGCAGCATTGTCCTGCATCCTGATGGGATTATTACGTCTCCGGTCCACTTAAACACATCTAATCCAAACAAAGAGATGTTTCATCAGGATGAAGAACTCTGGTCTTGGTCTCTAAAGTGAAACAGTCTMGTCTTCATCCAGGTCATGTTTCAGTTATCAGATAACCTTGCTTTGTTCTTCTTTTCTGCCGTCTCATCAGTCCTGAACCACTGCCAGGTCCACCGCATCGCTGCTGTTGTTTACCAGTGTTACAGTGATGTCATCGGCCCCGACTCTGTCACCATGGAGACCTATAAACCTGCACTAACCAAGCTTGGCAGTTCTATACAGGTGAGTCACCTTTTTTTTTCTTTCCTTTTTCTATCTGAGAGGGGTTTTGAAAGGTCGCAAAGGAAGGATGCACGCAGCTGTCTGACATCTTGGAGTTCTGGCTGGACTCCAGGCCAGGATGTAACTGCAGGTTCTGACAGCTGAAGAGATTGGCTTTTATAGCTTAGAGGAGCTGCTGGTGCCAAAAGCAATTCCCTCCTCCTAGTGCTGCATCCCCCCTCACCGTTTTTAACCAAACCCACATGGCTCTACAGTTTCCACCTTTCAAACGTTTAATCTTTGTTTAGGAGAAATCCTACTCTGTTGGGCATCATTCGGGTTTCTCTTTTTTACCATTTCCATGAGCCAACAGCCGGAACCGCGGCGAGGATGATGCCAAGTCGGAGCACTTCAATTTTATCAACAAAACATGCTGCCAAATACATCTACGCTATGACTAGAATGCAAAACTGAAATAACTTCAGCAGCAGCTTGTGTCGTCAGATTTCTTTAGAAATTATGTGACAAAAGTGGCTCCTTACTTATACTTAGCTCAGAAAGCAAGGAAATTTGTATGTTTTAAAATTGATTCTTTGTTGTAACAATGCTTCTTGGCAATTAATCTTATATCACTGGAAAATGTGTTAATTTCCTTTTTATATGGTGCCACATTTGTAAGGAACATGCATTTGTGGGATGAGCAGTAGAGCTGAGTATGTGGGTTGTACACATGAAAATTTGCAGCTTATTCTGACGTGTTTGAGCTTGAGGTGTTTCCAATCAGGTGCAGATATAAGGTTTATTGTCGATAAGCATTGTTACAACAACAGTTTGTACAGATAAATGGAGTAAGATCTGAACTTTGTAACATAACATGTGGAGTTCCTCAGGGTTCTGTACTTGGACCAAAGTTGTTCATACTGTATGAATGATTTGGTAAATGTGTCAGAATTTTTCTGGTAAAGATGCAAGCGGAATTTGTTAAAAATACAGACTTGGTGTAGACTTAATAAGTTGTCATTAAATTTAGAGAAAACTAATTATATGATATTCAGTAATAAAAAGAAAACTAGTGATGTTCCATTTAAAGTCGGGGCAGAGGTTTGTAGAGTCAGTGAAGTGAAGTTTTTAGGTGTGGTGATAGATGAAGGGCTGACATGGAGACCTCACATAAATTATTTAAGAGCAAAGATGGCTAAATCTATTGCTGTTCTGTGTAAAGTAAGGTAGTTTTTTAATGATAAAGCTCTGTATATGTTGTATAATGCAATAATAGGTCCACACCTGGTTTATTGTRTTGAAGTCTGGGGGAAAGCGTGTAGGACAATTACAAATCCTCTTTTTTTTATTACAGAAAAGAGCTGTGAGAATTATTACTGGAAAAATATTGTCACTACCCATCAAATTCATTATTTTGTAAACTGAAAATATTGAAATTCTTTGATTTGGTTGATTATAGCATCCTACTGGTTATGTATAAGGCCCACAGAAACACAGTACCTTTAAATATCCAGGTGGATTTTGTTAAGAGAAAAAGATGTTATAACCTTAAAGGGACAGATATATTTGTAAAACCCAGCTTCAGAACTAGTTTGAGGGAATGGTGTACTTTAATACAGGGAATAAGACTGGAATGATTTGAATTGATTTGAATGCAGGATCATTGTGTACATTTAAGAAAATGATAAAGGTTCGATTGTTAAAACAAATGAAACAGTATAAAATGTGTTTATATTAACTGTTATTCTAGAGGGATTAGATGTTCTTGTCTTTTGTTTTGTTAATGATATAAATTTTTTGTTATATGAACGTATTCTTGGGAGAAAAGGAGCAGATATAAGATTTTTTTCTTCTCTCTGCTACCATTTGTGATTTTGATGCACATATATTGTTTTTCTAATTTTTCATTTTTATAGTTTTCTTTTTATTGTATATAAATTKTTTGTTTTGTTTTAATGAAATCAATTTAAAAAAACAACAACAAAGAAATTATCTACAGAACACTAATTTCTTTACTTTTTGTGCGACGTTTAGTTTTAAGCTTGGCCTTTTTTATGGCTGAATTGATTGATTGCAAAAGTATTTGATGAACTACTGAGCACATTTTTTGTAAAACTACCAGAAAGATATAAACTCAGTTAAAGATGGCCACCACATGTGATTTAAAGAAACACTAAAATGCTTCATTTCACAGAGATTAAGCTAAAATTTGGTGCTGTGGTACCTTAGTCATTCTGTATTAAAAACATAAGAGCTAATAGATTTTTTTATATCTAACAGTGACAAATGAAACCTTACATGTTAAATTTAAGATTTGACTAAAATGTCAATTTTCTACACAGAAAGATGGATTTAGTTTAAAACTTTGTTATGAAAGTTGGATGAAATGCATTATTTTAAATTATTTATTTTACTCACAGAAAACGTCACAGTTGGTCTTTTCCTGACTATTTTTAATGCTCTTTGATCTCATWAGTTTATTTGAGTTTTCCCTCAACATTACTGTTCATTAATTTCCTGTTTGTTTTATCTCCTCAGCTGGATTCGTCTCCAAACACAGACGTCCTTCGAAAATTTGTCAGGACCACAGACATTCAAAGTAATCTTTATATCTGAAGATGTCCTTGTGCAATTCAGTTTAAATGGAAAATTATTCTTGAATAAATTGTCTTTTATAAATAAACTGTTCAGCAAATAATTCCTTTCACAATTCTAATATTCTATTCTGAACATTTGAGTTTACAGAGTAGGGCTGTGTATTGGCAAGAATTTGGCGATACGATACATATCATAACAGAGTGGTCACGATATGATTTATCCCGATATATTGGGATACTGTAAGCAAGGCAATATATTACGATATATTGCGATTTTTTTTGTCCAAAAATTCTATTAAATAAAATCCTCTTACTGGAAAAAAAAGAAAAGCTAATGTTTATTTACAATGCTAATGCTACCCTTACTCTCTGGCGCTCAAGAGGTAGAGGAGCCAAATGTCTGGCTCACTGCTGCCAACTAGTGGTCAGAGGCTGAACTACAACATAAAAATGAATGGCTGGCAGGAAAGTTGACATTTTAAATCTTAATTAAAAATCGATACAGGGCTTTAGAATATCGATACAGTATTGGGAAATGAAATATTGCGATATTTCAGTGTATCAATATTTTCTTACACCCCTGTTACAGAGTAGATACACAAAATTATTGTAGTTTTTGTTTTCCAAAATAAAGCTGTGGTGTTGGAAGATGAGAAACAATTTTGGACACTTCCCACAAGGATAAAATGGCTTCAGAGATAATAACAACAATAATCATCTGGATGACATCACCTGTTTCTGATTCCATAATCATCGTTTCATCAGGTTATTTCCATTTGTGACTGGGTTCACAGAACTGCTCAGTTTTTTAATGGCTTGAAATAAAATTCAGTGCTGATAAATCTAATCAGATGTGCTTTTTGTGTAGCTCCACCTGCTGGTTGCTTAGATGTTGTGTTTTCCTGTAAAATGCTTTTCTTCTGTTCTGTAATTTCTAATTTATTAATACCAGGCTATATTCAGGAGATCTAGACACAAAGTTCAGTCATCTTGCATTCCATATTTCTTTATTTCAACATAAAACTTGGCATCCAGCTGATGGATCTAGACTACTAGTAAAGTGTCTAAAGAAATGATTTAATGTTCATGGATCAACACATTTAATGCTAATTTCTCAAGTCTGTCGTTTTTATGCTTAAATGATGTATAAAATGTTATAAAACTTTCAAAACAAAAGTTTCAGGTGACTGCTATGAACTGAAAATAAATGAAAAATCTGAAAATATCTGAAGGTGACCACATATTTGCTATTATTTTTTTCATAAAAAAGCAATAGATGTATGTTTTAATGTTTGTTTACAAGTGTAAAATTGTTAAACCTTTATTTAATACAAAAGGTGTCATATGTCTTCCTGACCACTGGGGGTGTCATATGTCTTCCTGACCACTGGGGGTGTCATATGTCTTCCTGACCACTGGGGGCAGTACTGAGCTGACACTGGCAGTACAGAGGTGAAGGGAGCGAAACTCAAAACACATTGCCTGTTTCTTATTTATTTTTAATGGTTCTGGTTCTGGTTATTTATACGTTTGCTTTGTTTTAAATGTGTTTACATTTTATAAATAAATCGATCTAGTTACTTTGTGCGACACCGTCTTTCACACTGTGTCAACAGCTAGAGTGTTTGTTTGTATTTAGCATCTGTTGCTAATGAGTGCTAGCCGGTTAGCCTCCACAAACCGCAGGAATGTAGCTAAAGCGGGTCAAACCGAGAAGCTTCGAGCCTCCAGAACCAGCAGGGTGTTGGCTGAGCGGAACCAGGCGGTGGTGGCGGTGGGAGCCTGGGTGGAGGATGGAGAGGACCACCTGGATGACCCGTGTGTAAGTTTGTGTTGTTGTGTTGCTAAGTTTCTCATTGAAATTTAATGAAGGTTTTTGTTTTTAGCCTTTAATGTTTCCCCAGTTTGAGTTTGTCATATTTTAAATTACATACTCCGTTCTCCCCAAAGGTAATGCAATTAAAATTACCAAGAAAGTTTATGCTTTTATATAATTTGTCGTTCTGCTCTCTGATACTTGGTATTTTTAAATAAGTCCACTCACAGATTGAATAAGAAAAAGCGGCATATATACAAATACTTCATTATTAAGTAGTTTTTAAATAAGTTATTTAATCAATACTTTAAAACAATTCTCACAAAATCAGCACAATCAGAGTTGYAGAGGTGATAAAACAAACTCAGACATGTTTAAAACTTTTCTAGAGAGCCTGACATTAATGTGAAACAGTAAGTGTTATAAAATGTGTCAATTTAGATGTGTTCTTTTTAAAAATAATAATTTAATGTTCACTGTCAAAACCTGGTATGATAGAAGAAATTCTGCACAAAGCTTCTACCTGCAAATTGCATGAGTAAAGAAAATTATGTAGTTGTTCAAATTAAGTTTTTTTATTTTACAAAAAAATGCCATTTTTATTTCTAGTCACAGGTGTACTTGTGTGAACACAGATTTTAAAGACTTAAACTGCTAATTCTCTTTGAAGTCACACACGCATATATAT